TCTCTCTCTCTCTCTCTCTCTCTCTCTCTCTCTCTCTCTCTCTCTTTCGCTAATCCCGTCGCCTTTCTCTCGCTTTTGCCGCGACGCTTTTGCTCGCACACGCTACCCGAGGATGCTGACGAATGCTATCGATACTTTCGCTTCGCTATTCTACATGGCGCACTTCGCGTCAATATACTTTCAGCTTGGCGCTTTCGCAATATCGATCAACATATCGACACACTACAAAAACACCGCACGGAACGTCGCTTGGTCGCGAGCGCCAGCTACGCGCACCGTTCTATTGTTCCGTTAGAAAATAATGAAATAAAATAATGACAATCATTTCTCGTGTATGAAGGGAGTTCGCGAGCTGCTCACGCCGATTAGAACTTCCGCGGCTTTGCCGTTTTTTGTTTGAGAGCGCGCCCGCGATGATCCGTCCTTACAAATGAAGAACGTAAATTTCGTCGGATTACGCGGGCCCCCTGTGTGGCCGCGAGGCGAGCAAAATCCGCTGCGAGTAAATTTCGTGAGAATTAATGCCCCTCGTAATTCGGCGAGCCGGCTGGGAAAATACGCGCGGGCGGTATTTATGAATGTACCGTAGATGCATCAGCGAAGTTTATCTGCGTAATAAGTTCATCGCGAATCGAAGTCGAATTGACCATTCGCTGGAATATATAGTATTTGATCGAGGCTTCGGTATCTCTCTCCTCCCACTTTCATTCTCTCTATCCCCGTCTCTTTTTCTTTCATTCTTTTTTCTCTCTCTCATCCCTCTCCCCTTCCTTCTAGCTCTTTCTCTCTTCGAGGGGAGCTCATCTGCAGGAAACGTGATTTTTTTCCCGAGAAAAAAGATATTGATGATAAAACTATTGTTTTTATTCGCGAGCGTCGACGCATGTCGTAGCTGAAAAGATCGATGGCTGTGAACAGACTCTACTCAACAACGACACACAGATCGCGATGTGGCATCGTTTAAGAGATCCCGCACGATCCCCAAGAGCAACATTTAGAGACGCGTCGCAATGATCGTTACCCTCAAGTATGAAAATACGTTATTATGTTGACAGTAGAGGCAGTCCATATTGCTAATCAACTATGCCAGTACGGCTACTTCTTCCCGGTGAACGACTCCAAGACGCTTACTGTAAAGGACGATAGCTCTCTGTATAGGTTTCAGGTATGTTGCGTCACAAGTTAATAGTAAGACACATAAAGTTCCCGATTTTCTATGAAATTCTTTATCTCTCTCATCTAATTGATACGTAGACACCCTATTATTGGCCGTGGCAACATAGAACCCCCGACAACGTGGAGTACGCGATTTATCTGGCTAAGCGAACCCTGAGGAACAAACAACGTCACGCTCTCGAGGACTATGAGACCGTACGTAGCCTCTACATTTGCCTTATTTGCACTTTGATGGCCGCACTTATTTCAAAAAAATTTCAAATCTCGAGAGCTCGTTTAGACGGTATCTAAAGAGACGGATATCCCTCTTGTACATAAATTCGCACATCCAGTTATATGTGACTCTTACACGGAAAAAAAAGATTTGCTAATATATGGACAACTAAAATTATTAACTGCAGGAGCAAATTTTCTTGCTTTCATAGCAAAATTATTTAGTTGTGATAACTAAATAACTTTGCTATGAAAGCAAGAAAATTTGCTTCTGTAGTTAATAATTTTAGTTGTCCATATATTAGCAAATCTTTTTTTTCCGTGTATGAGTGTTATAATTATAGATTATTATTATCGTAAAATACTTTACAACTCGTTGGCAGAATAAGTCACAATTTTCTACGCGACTGCGGCCGTTAAAGTGTTAAAAAAACAACAACAAAGAAACTAAAGGAAATATCTGTAAGACAATTTGGCGATTTTCTCTCTTACGAAAAATTGCATTGTCCTCAGGATGCTTTGAACAGTCTGCGCAAAAATCTGCAGAACAAGTGGGACATCATACAACTTCAAGCCGAGGAACAGGTGAATACTTATCCGCCACTATTACGGTATATCCGCATATTTGTCAACGATAACGGACCAATCACGCGCGCGCGCGCGTGCACATATGTTCCCGCGCAATTCCAATTCCGCATATTCGAGCACGTAACTCCTTGAAATGCTACTGATTGTGTGGGCTCAGGTACGGCTGTCGAAGGAGCGCAAAAAGGGGGACAAGATAGTGAGCGACTCGCAGGAACGAGCGTTTTGGAGAATCTATCGGCCACCACCCGGATGTCTCAGCAGCCTGGAAGTCGTGCCCGTACCTACTCGTTTTCGTCCTGGACTTCCACGACCTCCGTCACGCAAACGCACTCTAACCGATCTGCAACGTGAGGTGAGCCCCGAAATACGGTAACACTACACGGAAAAAATAATTTGCTGGCTGCAGCAAATTTTCTGTTGGTCCAGCAAAATCTTTTCGTTATTATATGGACAGCAAAAAGATTTGCTAAGAGTACTAATCACTATTTGCTGGATATAATTTGCTGAATTTACAAATTATTTTGCTGTAAGAACCATGATGGATTTATATAAGCAGTTGCAGTTTTGCTTCGATAGCAAATAAATTTGCTAAGAATACATTATTTTGCATCGATAGCAAATTAACATGATTCTTGAGACAAATACACTCAACAAATTTTTTCTCTCCTGACAACGAAACTATTTCTGCTCTGATAACGATTAATTGGTAAAATTAGTTACGTCAACTAAATTTTTTTGATGTCACTACGAATACGCAGTAGCAACGACGATTTTGCTAAAAGAGCAAAATTATTATTCTCCGTGTACTGTCCGCGATTATCCGTCGTATCTCGCGACGTTTTCACCGCGACATCGTCTCACGACTCAACGCGACCGCATTTTTACCGTCCAGGTGGCCCTTCTACGGAACAGTTTGATACGCACGAGGATCAAGGTCTCGACTGCGATTGAAAATTTTAAATCATACTTCGAAACGTACGTGGAATACGACCCGATGTTTGTACAGCCGAATCCTTCCAATCCATGGATCACTGACGATCACACGTTTTGGCAACTGAATAACCCCCTGTGAGTGATCCGATCGAGATTTTACGTGTCTATTCGTTTCCGCACGAAACGCGAATCTAATGATTTGTTTTCTGCCACGCGCGTCCAGAGTGGAAGTTCCTACGGAGAAGCGTGTTAAACGATGGGCGCTGTCGATGGAAGAACTAATGTCTGATCCTACAGGTACTACAACTCTAACGATCGTTAACCCGGCGTCGTCGTTAAGTCGCGTTCGCCGCAAAGCAACTCTTACGAATTTACGAACGCTTATCCTTGCGCGCTTGTGTTTGCAGGTTTACATGAGTTCACGAATTATTTAAGAAAGGAGTACAGCCACGAGAACATCAGATTTTGGGTGGCGGTTAAAGATCTCAGGCACAGCTTCCAAGCACAGATACCCGAGAAAGTCAACGAAATTTTTAGGTACGTTTTGTCCGAGCAACACATTCGTCGCGACACGAATCTCTCGCCGAAGGAAGATACTCATCTGTGACACTTTGTTGTTCACAGAGAATTCCTGGCGCCTGGGGCTCCCTGCGAAATCAACATAGACGGCAAAACGATGGAGAAGGTTCATCAAGAGATGAAGAATCCGAGCAGATTTACGTTCGATTCCGCCGCGGAGCATGTATATACCCTACTCCTGAAGAAGGACTGCTACCCTAGATTTATTCGCTCCGATCACTATCGTAATCTCTTAGCTGCCGGCGTGCAACCTCTGCAAAAGAAGAGGTACGAAAAACCGAAAGGGGAAAGCCCCGAGTTATCAAACGCACGACTTGGCGCGCCTCACACGCCCTTCTGTTTTCTCTCCCTCAGATTTTTCGTCTTCGGCGGCCAAGCCAAGAAGAAGATTTCCTCTTCGACTCCAACGTCTAGCATTTTGCAGCACGCTAATATAGGTAGTGGCGGTGGCGGTGGCGGTGGCGGCGGTGGCGGCGGCAGGCGAAGAGGAAGCGACCGCAGCCTAACCGGAAGCGCCCACGAGCTCGCCGTATGCGGGGTGCGCGACGTCGCTTCCGCGCCGCGAGTGCCGCACTCCCACAGCCAATCGAACCTCACCGACATCCCATACAGGTATGCGGGGGTTGGGGGCCCATGGGTCCCCGTGCGTTATATACATACATCTATATATATATATACATATATATTTCTGTCCTTCGGCGGGCCGGCGGGATGCTATTCTTTTGCTTTAGCATGCTGTTCGTACGCGCGGCACCGGGTTGGGCGTAGCCGCGATGATAGGCTTATTCGTGCGGTATTTTCAGGGGAGATCTACCACGACTCGTAAAGATACCTTCGAGGCCTAGTCCACGTAGTATTCAGTAAGTCACCCGATACATAACACGGTTTTCTCGATTGAATGTAGGAGCGGGTGACGGCGCGCTCGACGACGTCCGTACGCGCTCCCCGCGTTCGCTCTCTCCGCCATGTCTCGCTTTTGGAACCTCGATATATCGAAGCAGGGGCCTTATTTTTTGAACGCATAGCGAGTGCTAAGTACGCTTCCCTAATTCCAACTTTCATTTCTTTTCATACGAGCATTCATACGAACGTAACATGTTGTCTCAGCTTGAGGATCAGAAAGCATATTTAGCATTCGCTAATACGCCCAGAATATCACCTCCTACCAGAAACGAGCCACGGCGAGGTGCACGAAGAGTGAGCGACCTGACGTCGCAACGACGCTCCGTTCCACCGCGCTCTACGTTGTACGTTCGCATCCGACCTTGGCAAAACCCTTTTATTTCGGTGTGTTTGAAAACTCTCGCACTGTCAGAGAAATCGTTGCGTTTATGGAAAACTCACTGAGATGTGTGTTAAAGCAGTATATCTATATATCATCATTGGTAATTGTACTGTATGACGATCATTGCCCGTTCTCTGAACCCTTTTAAGAAATCTCTGAGTGTTTCTGAATACTATCAAGTACTGTCGTGCGTGGAGTGTCTCAAAAAATTCGCGTCAAACGTCGTAGTTTACCGAAGTATGCGCGTCTGTCTCTCTCGGACCGCAGAGAAATATGAAATTTTCCTTGACTCGGATGATATTTTGAGGCGCTCTCTGTATTTCTGCCTTGATGTCGATATTGTGTGCCGTCCGTATTAAGCTTATTACTCTTTCCTCTGTGTTTATACATGCATACATACATATATCTTATGCAACACACGTTACGTACGATACTTAAGCACACTGCAAACTCTTTTGCACAGTAAG